CCAAAATGTCTGAGCTTGGAGTGTGCAATTTACACACATGCACTTTATAGCCTGTCCCTGAAGTCTCTTTAAGTGTCATCTGCAAATGGGCCATGGGGTAACCCCAGAACATGCCCTGCTGTCCCAGGATGCTGTTACTTCTCCAACACATTGCCTTCTCTGTGGGGTGGTAAATGAGGGTCCTTGCTAACAGACAGGCATCTCTGTGGGAGTTTCATTTTTATGTTTCTTGAGTATCACTGCAGCGAGGATCCCATGGGAGGCAGCTTCTTCAGGAGGCCCTCTGGGGAGGTTCAGTATGGGGGACACCAAAGGATGAGCAGATGAAGGGGAGTTAGAGTCTGGGCAGGCTCAGAATGGGAAGAGTTCTTCATGACCTGCTCCCACATTCCCTGTCCTCTCTCACTTAACCATTTCTGAAGCCATGCAATTGCCAGTACTGGGGCATCTGAACTTAAAAAATTAAAGCTGTGCGCTTCCTCTGTCCTTGTTATGGCTGATGGACTTACTCTGGCTCAAACCATTCCCTGAGACCTCTTCTTTACCTGTATTATTTATACCAGTTTTCAATAGATTAGTTCATTGTTGAAGGGGAGAATGAGAGAATTTGTCTGCTGCAGGTTAGCAAAAGACACTGAAATGCAAAAGCTGGGAGGGACAAGATGAGTCTGTGTTAAAAGCCTTGCAGCAGCTGGGAGAGCTAACCCTGGAGATGCTGGCACAGGCAGAGCTCAACCATATGGAAAGGCTCCATGGGCTCAAGTGCAGATGTCTGTGCTGGACTGCTGCTAGAGTCACTGGGAGTGTCAGCAGAGAAAAATGAACCACATGAGAAGTCCCTGATGGTTTCCCTCATCTTGTATTCCAGCCTCTCAGAAAACCATACACAGAGCAGTCCCGGGGTAATGCTTCTGAGAGTGCTTGCTCTTGAATAATGAAGTGATTTCCTGCCATCTAGCTATACATCAATGAAATGCAACAAAAAGGAATTGATAGTACAACACATCTGGCTTTGAATGTTTCATTTTTCTGGTACACAACTGCTAGCATGTTGCCTGAAATCATTGCCTCTGTATGTCGTAACAGCTAAGGAATCCAAAGAAATATTGTATACTTTAAGAAAGGTGTCAAGATGAAGACAAGGGGTTTAATTTTGCCATGATATAAAACTCTGGATTTTCCACATCTTCTGTTCTGCAAGTAGTTCTGGTTGCCACATCCCAGGAAGGATGTACTGGAACTAGAGCAGGTCCAGAGACTGCACAAAGGTCTGGGACCTTCTGGAAGGTAGCGGAGTTGGGGTTGGTCTCTTCTCCCAAGCAACAAGCAATAGGACAAGAAGTAACGGCCTCAAGCTGCACCAGGAGAGGTATGGATTGGATATTAGGAGAAATTTCTTTACTGAAAGGGCTGCGAGGCATTGTAATAGGCTGCCCAGGGAAGTGGTTGAGTCACCATCCCTGGAGGTATTCAAGAAACGTGCAGATTTAGAACATAGTAGACTTAGAACATGGTTTAGTGGTGGATTTTAGGACTAGGTTAAAGGTTGAACTAGATGATCTTACAGGTATTTTCCAACCTAAATGGTTCTACGATTCCATGGAGTTCATACATTGTCTCCCTGTCCTTCTGCAGCTTCCCCAGCTTTACTTCAGGCCCTCTTTAGGTACTGGAAGGCTGCTCTAAGGTCTCCCCAGAGCCTTCTCTTCTCCAGGCTGAACAACCCCAACTCCCTTAGCCTGTTTTCACAGGAGAGGTGCTCCAGCCCCTCAGTCATCTCTGTGGCCCTCCTCTGGACTCGTTCTAATAGGTCCATGTCCTTCTGATTCTGGGGGCCCCAGAACTGAGCACATTACTCCAGGCAGGGTCTCACAAGAGCTGAGTAGAGGAGGAGAATACCCTCCCTTGCCCTGCTGGCCGTGCTTCTTTCCATGCATCCCAGGATGCGGTTGGTTTCTGGGCTACAAGCTCACATTCCCAGCTCATGTTGAGCTTCTCGTCAACCAAAACCCCCAGGCTGTTCTCCTTAGGACTGCTTTCAATCCATCCTCTGCCTGTAGTTGTGCTTTGGATTGCCCCAGACCAGATGCAGAACCTTGCCCTTGGCCTTGTTGAACTTCATGAGGTTTGCACAAGGCCACCTCTCAAGCCTGTCCAGGACCCTGTGGATGGCATCCCTTCCCTCCAGCATGTTGACTGAACACACAGATGGTGTCACTAGCTAACTTGCTCAATCCCACTGTCCGTGCCACGGCCAAAGATGTTAAAAATCCCAGATGTTTGTAGCATTTGGTATATTTGTAGAAACAAACAAACAAATAAAACACAAAACCAAAACAAACAACAACAACAAAACACCCTAGCTCTCTGTAACATGCTTAGAATTCACGTGTGTCTCCCTGAGAGGGGCTGAAGGCTCTCAGAGAACAGGAGCTGAATGGATGCAGTCCTTGGGGCACTAAGAGGAGGAAGGGCTCTGGTGGGTGCATATGAAGGCATCTGGATGCAGAAAAAGGTTGCAAAGCATCCCAGCAAAGAGCACAAGATGCCAGCATTTAGTCAGTTAGTATTCAGCAACGAACATCTCCGCTCACAAGAGGCTACCTGCTTCTAGGAACCACTTTTTTGCAAGCAGAATAATATAAGAAATAAAAAAAAAAGGTTCACAGGAGATTTCTCTTCTGTGACAGTTTCAGCTATGTCTTGGTTCTTGGCAGAACACAGGGACTGCAGAAGGAGCTGGTGTGGGTGCTGCAACAAGGAAGCTTTTTCTTGGCTGGAAAGTGGGACATATGTGCGCAATGAGTCTTGCATGTGTGCAAGATTGCATGAGATCTTGGAAACCCTGGTGCAAAGGGTTAATTATGGACAGACTTGCTGATTGGGTTTCTGTTAGGATGTGAAATTTATGGGCTGCAATATTCACGGGCTGTGATGCAGCAATAGGAAGTGTGGGAAATGGGTGGCTGTGTCATGAAAGAAAAACGTCTTGGCACGGACAGCTCCGTTCACTTGCCAGAGAGGAGCTTTTCCAAAAGACATGATGGATAAATGGGGCAAGAGACATCCTTTCATTTCCTTTCAGACAAGCTGCTGCACCTTATGTGTTTTTAGTCAGGCTAAATTGAGGAGGAAGGCCGAGGTGGCTCATTATACTATTTGCTGAAAGCCTGAAGTGTAAGCACAGGGAAAGGCTCAGGGTGTTGTGCCAAAGCATCCCATGGTTCAGAGATCAGCCAGGAAAATCCCTGAATTCACTTATACTGGGGGTCAGAATCAATGCAATGGGGCACCCATAACCTGGACATGCTTATAACTAAACCTCAGCAGTTCATTCATGATTTCTGGAACCCCCTCATTCTTTACATGATACTCCCAGAATACAGACTGTGTATTTTATGTGTCTTTTAGTGTGAGGGGTCAGGTCTTATCAACACAATTTCTGATAGTGGCCTTGGGGACAGACAGACTTCAGCTGGAGCAAGCTCTTCCATGTATATAAAGGACCTGCTCCTTAGAATTCCTTATTTTGGCAGGGGAAAGGAGACTTTCCTTTCCTCACCTATATGGTGAGGAAGATCTTACCTTCAGCCCTGAAGAAAGAGATCTGGGGGTGCTGGTCAACAGCAAGTTGAGTGTGAGCCAGCAGGGTGCGTGGCAGCCGAGAGGGCAAACATCATTTTGGGATGCTTTTAATACAGCATAGACAGCTGGTAAAAAAAAAAAATAAAATAAAAAAATAAATAAAAAAGAGGTGATTCTCCTGCTATATATTACTGAAGCCTCACTTTGAATATTGTGTGCAGTTTTGGTCTCCACATCAAAAGGATGTGAAGATTGTGTCCAGAGGAGGGCAACAAAGCTGGTAAAAGAGCTGGATGGCATGTTCTGTGAGGAGAGGCTGAGGACACGTTTTTTTGAGAAAACTCTACTCTACTCTACTCTACTCTACGCTACCCCACCCCATCCCATCCCATCCTCTGGTTTTATGAGGGTCTCAGTGAGAACTGAACTCTCCTAGGACATAATTCTCCCCACCTTAGCATCAAGGACTCCAGGTGAAGCACCCACTTTTCCCCCAGCTAGCTTTAATTGGGACCTCAGGGTACGAGCCTAAATGAAGCTCCAGCTCCAAACATTTTTGCTAGAGTAAATAAATGTAATTAAAAAAAAATATTTCCTCATTGCATGTGTCCTCTGAGGGAGATGCAGTCACCCTAGCAGACCTTTGAAACTCATTCTTATGTTTATGGTTTGAATATGGATATCCTGGCATTACCCACAGGAAACACTTTCTGGGATGAATCCTGTTTTTACCTTCTTCTGAATATGTCCAGGTCTTTCTCTTACTCAAATGCTTCCATTGAAGATGCTGATGCAGATGGGGGAAGCACAGTTACAGGCTTGTACGTGGCATGGTTACATGGCTGCTTAGACACGGACGTGTCTTCTTTAGAAGGCCAGGGGATGATAATAAGGTTCCTGCTGCCAAGAAGCGTTGCGAGGAGGATCCCATCACTGCTGCTTCTCCCATTTTTCCTGGCTCATTTTCAGCTTGAGTGAATAGTCATTGAGCTTCTTGCGGAGCTCCCATAGTGCAAAAAACTGTGCTGAGTCTCATGGGAATCCCCATCTAGTAAAGGCATGATATCAGGGAGCTCAGAGCACAGAGTCACCATCTCTTGCAAGATCCCATGCCCAAGCTTGTCTCCACCAACTCTTCCTGAAGGTTTTTTTTTTTTTTTTTTTTTTTGTGTGTGTATTCCTTTGTTTCAGAATCAGAGGTGGTTTGGTTGGTGAATGGCCCAAGCCGCTGTGCTGGGAGAGTTGAAGTCCTTGAGCAGCGCCAATGGGGGATGGTGTGTGATGATGCCTGGGACCTGCGTGACGCAGAAGTGGTGTGCTGGCAGCTGGGCTGTGGGACAGCAACTGCAGCTCCGGGCTTGGCTTACTTAGGCCAGGGACATGGTCCCATCTGGCTGGCCAAGGTCAACTGCACGGGGACAGAAGCTGCCCTCTCCAAGTGCAGGGCCAGGCCCGAAGGAGTCCACCTCTGCCACCATGGAGAAGATGCTGGTGTGGTGTGCTCAGGTAGCTGTTGATCATCTGCCCATGAGCTTGTGGGTTCCAACACTGCAGGAGCTCAGTGGATTGCTTTTCCTTTCTTCTCTATGTCACTGCTCTTCCCACATGTGAATCTTGAACTCCAAGGCTAGACCGATGCTGAACAAGTGGGGATTCCCCCTCACTGTCATATCAGGCACTGGGTCTCTCCTTTACCAGGTCCGCCACCAAGAGATGACGTGCTCTGCCTCTTTCCATTTCAGAGCCTCCTGAGGTCCGGCTGGTGAACGGCTCCAACCGCTGCTCTGGGAGAGTCGAGGTGCTGCATAACCAGCAATGGGGAAGTGTGTGTGATGATGACTGGGACCTGGATGATGCACAAGTGGTGTGCCGGCAACTGGGCTGTGGTACAGCTATCTGGGCTCCACATGCAGCTCAGTTTGGGCTGGGGAATGACCCCATCTGGCTTGATGATGTGAACTGCACAGGCTCAGAGGCTGCCCTCTCTGAGTGCAGGGCCAGGCCATGGGGCGAAAACAACTGTAACCACCGAGAAGCTGCCAGTGTGGTGTGTGCAGGTAAGCCACCTTCATTCCTTCATCACAAAAGCACAGAATTTCTCGGTTGCAAGAGACCTCAAGATCATCAAGATCATCCCTGGAGGTCTTTTAAAGACCTCCAGGGATGGTGACTCCACCACTTCCCTGGGCAGCCCGTTCCAATGCCTAACAACCCTTTTGGTAACGAAGTTCTTCCTAAGATCCAACCTAAAACTCCCCTGGTGCAACTTAAGCCCATTCCCCCTCGTCCTGTCACCAGGCAGGTGGGAGAACAGACCAACCCCCACCTTGCTTCATGGTGCAGCTCTGGAAGGAGCAATGTTGGCAGCCCTGCTGGACTCAGTATGTTGCTGTGTCTCTTATGGGAAGCCTATGGATAGCTCTATTTTGCTCGTGTCTCTTGCCTCTGTATAGAGACCTATTTTCAGGACCCTTTACACATTGACCCTTCTCACTACCTTTGGTCCATGTAGTCTTGATGGACTGCCAGGCTCTTGCTCTGTATTTCCATAGCACTATGTTGCCATAGCACTTTAGGTCGATGTTCAGGTTTCTCCACGTGAACTACGTGGCTGAGCCACCCCCTCCTGTTCAAGTCCAGGGTGGCCTTGTTGATACAGCTAATGAATGTTGAATGAACTCCAGACTGGTGTAGGTCTTCCATTTGTCCCTGTATCCTGTCTGTTCCCTCCTCATGGTTTCTTTGGATGCCTGAGAACACATCAAATGGGATTAGATACCTGTGCTTATGCCAACGGGAGCCTTCACATCACATTGTACCTGGCTACCACTCAAGGTCCTGTCTTCCACTTTTCCGTGTCTGCCCTGCATGTGTCTTTTGAATTCCAGAAGCAGCCCAGCTCCGGCTGGTGAATGGCTCCAGCCGCTGCTCTGGGAGGGTCGAGGTCCTTCGTATCCTTGTCCTAGTAATGCTGACATGTGGAAGTGACTCCACAACCATAGGGTTGTAAAGTAGTTATACTTTATTGCAGTGCACCGGGCGCACTGGGAATAGCTTCCCTCAAAAAGTGTGCACCTGCCCAGCGTTCTCTCACAATTTTATACATGAATACTGCTACATATTACATGAGCTCTAATACATATTCATTCTTTTCCCTGAGAAGGCGGACCTCTTCCTAGTAGTACTCATTTCCAAACTCCCCGCCCTTAGCTCCTCCCAGTTCTGCTTGCGCAATGTAGTCTGGTGTTCAAGGGCAGGGGTATTTCAGGATGAAGGCAACAAGGAAGAGGAGGTTAAACTTTTTACCTTCCTGGACTTTGACCTTATGTTGGACAGTATTTAGGAGTTTTTTGCTTATCTTTGCCTTATTTTCTGCCAGTGAGTTGTTCATCCTTCCCTTATGCGTTGGCCTTGAGCGATATCTTCACTTTTACATCTGCTTCTCATAAGTTTCTCATCTACATTCCCTGATAATCAGGATATTTTACCATATATGTAGCTAAATATTAATTCAGATGAGTTTTAGCATCTTCCTCATCTCAGTGTACGTTTCCTCAGGCATGGCCATTAAGTTGCAGGGTTTATTCCCAACAGCTGCTGGAGTTACTGCATCGGCTGCCAGAGGTCTCAACCGAGACAACTGAGGAAGAGCTGGGCAAGACTTCAAGGGAGGCAGGCAGGCCAACAGGCCCTGCACCTTGTGGGAATGCCCGGAAGAAGCGGTGGGTGATTTGGAAAGACTGACAAAGGTCTGACAAAGGTCTGACAAAGGGGGAATTGGAAATGCTAGCCCTCTGAGGGGTAGTAAATGCTGTGGGGTTGATCTGCTTGGGCCAGACTGATCTGAGGAAGCAGGATAGAGGTTTGCAGAAATAAAGGAAAATAAAGGACCTCTTCTGTTCCTTATGCTGTGGTAAGGCTGTTCATTCAATAAAGCCAACCGAGATTTGTGAATGCAACATTTCTGGCACATGGTGCTCTGAATGCACAGCCTTACTCAAAATTGCTCCAACAAAGAGCCTGCAATTCAACTATTCGCTATTAAAAAAAAAAAAAATATTATTATTTATTTATTTATTTATTTATAGTAATGTAAATTCATCCTGAAGCCTGTTCACTTGAAAAAATTGGTCTAAATGTATTTTGGTTTTCCTTGTTTTGAGGGACTGTCGTGGTTTAGCCCGGCCGGCAGCTAAACACCACGCAGCCGTTCGCTCACCCTCCCCCCTCCCTCTCTGGGACGGGGGAGAGAAATGGAAAGTGAAGCCCGTGAGTTGAGATAAAGACAGTTTAATAAGACAGGAAAAAAATAATATCAATAATAATAATAATAATACAATGATGACAATAGTACTACCACTAATAATATGTACAAACAAGTGATGCACAATGCTCACCACCCGCTGACCGATGCTCAGCCTAACCCCCTAGCAGTCCGGCCCCCTCCCCCAGCTAGCCACCCCTATATATTGTTTAGCATGACGTCAGATGGTATGGAATACCCCTTTGGCTAGTTTGGGTCACCTGTCCCGGGTCTGTCCCCTCCCAGCTCTTGCTGCACCCCCAGCCTGCCTGTTGACAGGACAGAGCAAAAGGCTGAGATGTCCTTGGCTTGGTATAAGCACTGCTCTGCAACAATTAAAACATCGGGGTGTTATCAGCACTCTTCTCATCCTAAGCCAAAACACAGCATTCCACCAGCTAGTAGGAAGAAAATTAATTCTGTTCTAACTGAAACCAGGACATCTATCCACCCCTTATTCCATACCATTTCTGTCATGCTCAGGTTACACTCTTTTCCATACATTCTAATCAGTCACCTATAGTAGTCATGGTAGTGATAACATACAGTATTATATAATAAATAACATGGTACAATTCAGTTCATGGGCTATTCTCACCCAGTATTAAATCTCCTTGAGGTACACACCGGACCTCTCCGTTCTTTTGCATCACCCACCAAGTGTATCCAGGTCCCTGAGCGAAAACAATTCCACGAAGAGGTTTGCCTTTTCCTGAGGCAGGAGTAGCTCTGACTGTTTTACCCAGCATATTTCTTACATGCACTACGGGAACTTTATCCCCATCTACAGTACGTAACAGGTTTGATTGGGCAGGTCCAGCTCGGTTGGCAGATCCCCTAGTATTGACTAACCAAGTGGCCTTTGCCAAATGCGTGCCCCAATTTTTGAATGTCCCAGCGCCCATTGCTTTCAAGGTAGTCTTTAACAGTCCATTGTATCTTTCAACTTTCCCGGAGGCTGGTGCATGATAGGGGATGTGATACACCCACTCAATACCATGTTCTTTGGCCCAAGTGTCTATAAGGTTGTTTCGGAAATGAGTTCCATTGTCTGACTCTATTCTTTCTGGGGTACCATGTCGCCATAGGACTTGCTTTTCAAGGCCCAGGATAGTGTTCCGGGCGGTGGCATGAGGCACAGGATATGTTTCCAGCCATCCGGTGGTTGCTTCCACCATTGTAAGTACGTGGTGCTTGCCATTGCGAGTTTGAGGGAGTGTGATGTAATCAATCTGCCAGGCCTCTCCATATTTATATTTCAGCCATCGTCCTCCATCCCAAAGAGGCTTTGACCGTTTGGCTTGCTTGATTGCAGCACATGTTTCACAGTCATGAATAACCTGTGCTGTAGCGTCCATGGTCAGGTCCACCCCCCGATCACGAGCCCATCTGTATGTGGCATTTCTACCTTGATGACCTGAGGTGTCATGGGCCCATCGGGCTATAAATAATTCACCTTTATGCTGCCAATCCAGGTCCACCTGAGCTACTTCAATCTTAGCAGCCTGATCCACCTGCTGGTTGTTTTGATGTTCTTCAGTAGCCCGATTCTTGGGCACATGAGCATCTACGTGGCGTACTTTCACAGCCAGGTTCTCTACCCGAGCAGCAATATCTTGCCACAAAGCAGCAGCCCAGATGGGTTTGCCCTTACGCTGCCAGTTGTTTTGCTTCCATTGCTGTAACCATCCCCACAGGGCATTTGCTACCATCCATGAATCGGTGTAGAGATAGAGAAGTGGCCATTTTTCTCGTTCAGCAATGTCTAAAGCCAGCTGAATGGCTTTCACTTCTGCAAACTGACTCGATTCACCTTCTCCCTCAGCAGCTTCTGCAACTCGTCGCGTAGGACTCCATACAGCAGCCTTCCATCTCCGATGCTTCCCCACAATACGACAGGACCCATCAGTGAACAGGGCATATTTCTTTTCATTCTCTGGCAACTGGTTGTACAGTGGGGCTTCTTCAGCACGACCCACCTCCTCCTCTGATGATATCCCAAAGTATTTGCCTTCTGGCCAGTCCATGATCACTTCCAATATTCCTGGGCGACTGGGGTTTCCTATTCGAGCCCGCTGAGTAATCAGTGCAACCCACTTGCTCCATGTAGCATCAGTTGCATGATGCGTAGAGGGGACCCTTCCCTTGAACATCCAGCCTAGTACCGGCAATCGGGGTGCTAGGAGGAGCTGCGCTTCAGTACTGACCACCTCCGAAGCAGATCGAACTCCTTCATATACTGCCAATATCTCCTTTTCAGTCGGAGTATAGCGGGCCTCAGATCCTCTGTATCCCTGACTCCAAAACCCCAGGGGCCGACCTCGAGTTTCCCCAGGTTCTTTCTGCCAGAGGCTCCAGGTGGGGCCGTTCTCCCCGGCTGCAGTGTAGAGCACATTCTTTACATCTGGTCCTGTTCGAACTGGCCCAAGGGCTACTGCATGGACTATTTCCTGCTTGATTTGTTCAAAGGCTTGTCGTTGTTCAGGGCCCCATTCAAACTCATTCTTCTTACGGGTTACTTGGTAGAGCGGGTTTACAATCAGACTGTAATTTGGGATGTGCATTCTCCAAAAGCCCACAACACCTAGGAAAGTCTGTGTTTCTTTTTTGCTAGTTGGTGGAGACATAGCTGCTATTTTGTTGATCACATCCATTGGGATTTGACGACGTCCATCTTGCCATTTTATTCCTAAAAACTGGATCTCTCATGCAGGTCCTTTGACTTTATTTTGTTTTATGGCAAAACTGGCTTTCAGAAGGATTTGGACTATTTTCTTCCCTTTCTCGAAAACTTCCTCTGCTGTGTCACCCCACACAATAATGTCATCGATGTACTGCAGGTGTTCAGGAGCTTCCCCCTGCTCTAGCGCAGACTGGATCAGTCCATGGCAAATGGTAGGGCTGTGTTTCCACCCCTGGGGCAGCTGATTCCAAGTATATTGGATTCCCCTCCAAGTGAAAGCAACTTGTGGCCTGCACTCTGCTGCTAGAGGGATGGAGAAAAATGCATTAGCGATATCAATTGTGGCGTACCACTTGGCTGCCTTTGATTCAAGTTTGTACTGAAGTTCCAGCATGTCTGGCACTGCAGCACTCAGTGGTGGCGTGACTTCGTTCAGGCCACGATAGTCCACTGTTAGTCTCCACTGGCCATTAGACTTTCGCACTGGCCATATGGGACTATTGAAAGGTGAATGAGTCTTGCTGATCACTCCTTGGCTCTCCAATTGATGAATTAGCTTATGGATGGGAATCAGGGAGTCTCGGTTAGTGCGATATTGCCACCGGTGCACAGTTGTGGTAGCGATTGGCACTTGCTGTTCTTCGACCCTCAGCAACTCTACAACAGAGGAGTCCTCTGAGAGACCAGGCAAGGTAGATAATTGTTTAATGCCCTCTGTCTCTAAGGCAGCTATACCAAAAGCCCACCGGAACCCTTTTGGGTCCTTGCAATATCCTTTTCTAAGATAGCCTATGCCAAGGATACATGGAGCATCCGGGCCAGTCACAATGCAGTGCTTTTCCCACTCATTCCCAGTCAGACTTACTTCAGCCTCCAATACAGTCAACTGCTGAGATCCCCGTCACTCCACAAATACAGATGGGCTCTGGTCCTTTATATCTCGATGGCATTACATTGTGCACCAGTGTCTACTAAAGCCTTATACTTCTGTGCCACTGACGTGCCAGGCCATCGAATCCACACAGTCCAATAAACTCGATTGTCCCTTTCCTTTTATGATAAGATCATAAAATTTCCTTTTATGGAATAAATCATAAATTTAATCATAAATTTTCCTTTTATGATAAGATCACCCGTATGGTAGACCAAGGGAAACCAGCTGATGTGATTTTTTTGGACTTCAGCAAGGCTTTTGACACGGTTTCCCATAGGATCCTACTGGACAAAATGTCCAGCATACAGCTAAATAAAAACATCATACGATGGGTGAGCAATTGGCTAACGGGCAGGGCCCAAAGGGTTATGGTGAATGGGGCTGCGTCAGGCTGGCGGGCGGTCACCAGTGGGGTCCCTCAAGGCTCCATTTTAGGGCCGGTACTTTTCAATATTTTTATAAACGATCTGGATGTAGGAATAGAAGGCATTTTGAGCAAGTTTGCTGATGACACCAAACTTGGAGGAGTTGTGGACTCGAATGAGGGTGGAAAGGCCTTGCAGAGGGATCTGGATAGGTTGGAGAGCTGGGCGATCGCCAACCGCATGAAGTTCAATAAGAGCAAGTGCCGGGTCCTGCACCTGGGACGGGGAAACCCTGGCTGCACGTACAGACTGGGCGATGAGACGCTGGAGAGCAGCCTAGAAGAGAGGGATCTGGGGGTCGTGGTAGACAACAAGTTGAATATGAGCCGGCAGTGTGCCCTGGCAGCCAGGAGGGCCAACCGTGTCCTGGGGTGCATCAAGCACGGCATCGCTAGTAGGTCAAGGGAGGTGATTGTCCCCCTCTACTCTGCGCTGGTGCGGCCTCACCTCGAGTACTGTGTGCAGTTCTGGGCACCACAGTATAAAAAGGA